CCCCACCCACAACTGGAGGGGGCAGAGTGTTGGAGAACAGATAAGGACGGGACTTCTGACGAAGCAAATCAATAAGTTGTTTTGGTCCTGTTGTATAGCCACCTTAAAATTAAATAGAATGTAAATTATAATTTTTTATTTAAATACCCTTCATCTGGACATGTAAAAGTAAACAAATCTTGTGCACTGAGTCCTGATGATGCACTTATCCTGTAAAGGGTGGATTGTGCTATTCAACAGATAAACCATTATCCAACATACAAGTATGCACTGCATGGATAGAGATTTATCCAATGGATATACGGTTATTCACTCCATCAACATCTGGGGCCTGGAGCAGGGTAAAATGCAACTGACTATGGTGTGAATGATTTTTCATCTGATTAATTGGTGGGAATTTCCTTGACTAATCAAAGACGATGAGTGAAGAACTCAATGCAATCTTGGATAAATCTCAACAGGCAATCAAAAACAGCTCTAAACATCTTGCATGGTTGCGTGATCCCTCTCACTCAATTCCATGACTGATATCACTGGCCTGTTTGCCTTAATATGGAAGTCATATATAGCAACAGGATTCCCAATGTGCTTTGAAGAAACCATCTTCCAAAGCTTAAAAGGCACAAGCAACAAATGAAGAAGAAATGCAAAATAGGGCATTTGGGGGAAAACAAATTAAGCAGTCTTTAATCCCAAAGTAGGCAGCCAGGTACTGCATTCAACTGAGAATGAAAACTCAAAATACACACCTGCTCCTCCACCCAAAGCTTTCCCAAGAGTTGAGTTAATGATATCCACACGGCCCATACAGTTTAGATATTCCTCTGTTCCCCTAGAAAATTAAGATCCAGCAACATAAAAATTACAATGAGAAGTGAACTAGAACTTATTATCTATGGATGAATCAGGACAAATATTCAGAAAAGGCAAAAGCAAAGAGTAGTAAATAAATCTGAAGACAACATAAGCAGTTCTCAAGAGAAGAAATGATCCCTACAGGTGAGCTACAATTTAACCCTTTACACCCTAACATCAGTATGCAAATTCTCCATACTGTTCTCTATACATTTCCTGAGCTGTTGACAAGGAGAATTAGCTTAACAATCCAGAGCTTCTGTAGTTGTTGATCATTTCCATCATTCTCATGACCCTAATGTGTGATTCAGGGGAGATACTGTAAGGAGAACTTAGATGCTAGTCACTCTTAGGAGTTAAAGGGTTAAGAAATTGCTGAAAAACCCAATTTTTTTCCAAATTAATTAAACTTCAGTTAAGGTTAAATAACATTGAAAGTAACACTTTTACCTCCCTGTGTCTCCAAGGAATCCTGTAGCATGACACTCATCAATGAATGTAAGTGCACCATACTTTTCTGCTAAGTCACACAGTTCACTATTAAAAGAAAACCCAATGTAATTTTTGTAAGTGAACATTGAATGATGCCTGTGGATAATTTTGAAGATAGCCCAGTATAAATTGGATTTTCAATTTTTGCAGAACTTGGAGTATGAATTTTTTTTTCAACAAGAAAAATTACTGCAAGAGGTCCAAAAATAATATATAAGTATATAAAAAACAGATTGAAGAGATTTCATGTAACTAGTTCTAACAATATTTGGTCATGAAGAATAGCTCACATTTGGTTGCAGTTATTTTAAATTTAGTTTCAAAGACATGATACAGAAGTCAAAATTAATCATCCAATCAAAGTAAATTTATATTCATTGACCATACATACTTAAGAGGTGCAACTTTTCCATCCATACTGAAAACACCATCAGTAACTATTAACTTCATA